ACTCGTACGTATTCACACATTTTTTTAAATTGTTTATTTGTATTTTAACCTATGAGACAGTTCATTATATTTCCCATTAAATCATCAACGAAATTATACAAAAACACAATAATGGCACGTAACTTACGAGATTTCCAATCGGCCCGTCAGGCCCCGCTTGAGTGAGGTTCTCCGTCGAGTTAGTAGTGGCTAATATTTATAATTTAATGTATTTGAAATGAAGTAATTTTATTAGTAATAATATTTCGCTATTATTTTAGATCTCTGCTGTTTCTTTGGATATGCATGCGCAGCTCTATAAAGTTGCACAATTTAATGTTTAGTAACATTCTCTCGGCCACAATGCGCTTTTTTGACACTAACCCATCAGGACGAATTCTAAACCGATTTTCCAAAGACATGGGCATTGTTGATGAGATATTACCGAGAATGTTCTTGGACAGTTTGCAGGTAACGTTATAAAGCATCTAATCATGATTTTAGTAGTCTATACATGTATTGAATAAAACTAATTTTAACGAATTTAATCGTGTTATTTTCTATTCTCGACGTATGTACGAGTATCAAGCACTTTGCAGTTCCTAAGGTCGCGAATCACAGGTGAACTGCGATAAAATTCGTAAAAAATTTGTTTTATTCATGATTTTTATACTATTGTCAATACGTAATTAATTAAAAATATAACGTTGGAAATTTAATGAATAAAATGTGTAGTGTTGTTAATAGTAAAAAAATAATTAATTGTATTACTATAATTGTACTCTGACTTATGCATCTACTGCTAGCTGTACCTTGTATCGTTGTCCCATTTTGGCATATTATAGTTTTGAGTAGAGTATGTATGAGTTTATGAAATAAAGCTACTAAAACTTTACTCGCTTTCTTACACAGCAGTGGGTGCACTACCCCATAGCGAGTGAAATAATCCTTCAAAGATGATAATTACTCCAATATGGATAGTCTAGACTTTAACATTTTTAAGTAGAACTAAGAAAAAATAATAAGATAAGCCATCTGCGCAGGGCACGATTATATTGTGCGTGCAAGCAGGTGAGGTGCACTCTCTATTTCTTAACTCTCATATTCCGAGGAGAAGGCAATCCGACATGATTGGAGAGAGATCAGGCGCAGAACCAACTGCTTTACGTGCATTCCAAGGCACGGATTGAAACATCTCCAACTTCATCGCTCCGGGCTGCTACTAATATTTTCTTGAAAGAAAACCCAACAGATTTTTAGCCTGACCCGGGATTCAAACCCAGGACGGGGATCGGAAACAGGATCAGCAGTTGCGCTTATAGCCACTTGACAAACGAGGTAGTCGCCAAAGAAAACTACTTTAAGGAAACCGTTAAAATTTCAATGGATAATGTTAGTTTAGTGATATTGATTTTTTTTTAGGTGTTTATGGTGATGCTGGGAATTTTAGTAATGGTGGCTATAGTGAACCCGTACATGTTGCTTACGACCGCTGTCTGCGGCGTGTTTATGTACATGTGGACTTTGGTCTACCTCAGCACAGCGCAAGCCATTAAGCGGTAAGTCTTTTGTATCTTATTTCACATATCGTTCTAATAAACAATATAATGGAACGCCCGAAAATAGCACACCTCCAACACTCATAGTAAAAAGGAACAAACTATTTTTGTAATAGAGGTGTAAGTAAAAAAAGGTTTGGATCCAAATGTGTATTATTTAGATTTACTATTTTAACTTTATAATTGCAGAAATTCTCATTAAAGTTCATTGGCGTTGACATATCTTGTATAATATGTAAATGCAGGAAAATATATATTGTCAATATTGATAATTCTAGCTTATAACGACTTACTCGTGGTAGAGAGAGACTCGCGGAGACTTTATACGTGGTACAGCCATGATGTAGCTATATTAGTAGTATAGTTGTAGCACAAATGGGTCGGCTCAACCGGGGAAGGACCACGCTCTCACAAAATACCAGCGTAAAATAGCAGCTTGACAATGTTGTGTTTCGTATGATGAGTGTAGAGAACCGGAGACCCTTTTTACTGGAAAAGAGGCATTCCATCTTAGTCCTCACGGATGAGAACGCATCTGCATTTTGATTGGCAAAGGAGGATAAATGTAGATGTCTATGGGCCACAGCAACCACTTAACATCAGGTGGACTGTGTGCTCGTTTGTCACCCTATCCTATAAAAAAATACTCCGACTGGATTTATCTGGTCTGGTTTATGACTAATAGATATGTCTGACAACATGATGGCACGGGCGATAAACAGCTTAGATATGGGTCATGTAGGCGTATCAGAAGAAAACACATTGACTCGTGTATCGTGCGTTTGATATGTTTCCGCTTGATATCTATTTCATTTTGATTGATTTATCTTTCTGAAATTATGCATTACACAAATAGATGGGCGCAGCAACAGACGGACGACAAAGTGGTCCTATAAGGCTACCGTTTCTGTCTTTTGAACGGAACCTTAAATTGATTACAACCATGGAACTGTATTATTAAAAACCACGTAAAGATACATGAAATGACGATCGAACGTTCGAAGAGTATCCGACGTTATCGACGTGACAAAGTCACGGTTATTATAATAGTCATATTGATTGCAAAATAACGAATCTGCTAGTTGTGTATAGTTGCCTGCTTTTTTTATATAAGAGGGGGCAAGCGAGCATGCGGCGTTACCTGATGGTAAGTAACTACCGCCGCCCATGAACACCTGAAACACCAGGGGAATTGCATGTGCGTTGCCGGCCTTTTAAAAATGGGGAGGCTCTTTTCTTGAAGGTCGCTAAATCATATCGTTCCGATAAATTCGTTGTTGTTAGTCAATTCCACAAGGAAATTGTGCGAGGAAAAAAACTTCTAGTAAATCACACAGCGATTGGCCGCCAAGCATAAAGATGGTATGGATAGTATTGCGAGTTTTGTCGCGATGTGCGATGATGAAATTTAGCGGCTGGAATTAATCTTAACAATTCCTCAGATAACTCCGAGCTGGCACTGGGTTGTGCTGGCCCATAAATGAGAATAATAATATTTAATGTGAGGCCGAACTTGTGCCTTGTAAAGTTAAAGCAAATGATATGTTGACATGAAATACTATATTACAAAGCACGCCAAAATTTTTAGAGAAGTATTTGACCTCCTTCCCTTCCAAGCGACCGCGGAACTGAACTTTATTAAATATTCTGAGGCAACAAGGTACCCTAAAACTGTGACATACGACAAATGGGATAAACGCGAAAACGTGTGTCTCATGGGGATTGAATTGGATTAGAATTAGTCGACCAACAAAAACTCTACTTTAGACACATGTTTATTCCGGCAGCCGATAACGTGTTTCCGAGAAATAATATTTCTCGGAAACACGGCACGGTCAGTAAGTCATCGCCAATGCTGTCCAACTCGTTGCAAAAATATCGCTTATATGCAGAAGAATCAGAGTAGGCGATAGCATGCAGCCTTGTGGAACACCAGTTTTCACGGGCTTGGAGTCGGAGCATTAACCGTCAACTACGACCTTAATGCTCGGATCTGTGATAAAACTGGTGATCCAATTACATAATTTCTCGGGAAGCCCATCAGGAGGGAGCTTTGAAACAAGCGTATTGTACCAAACCCGATCGAAGGCCTTCGCCATGCAAACTAACTGGCAAAGCTTCCCCCTTAGACTCGTCTGCCTGCACCTGTCGTTGTGTTAGGTAAACGAGAAGATCACCATCTGAGCGATCCTGAAGGAAACCGTACTGTCGGTCACTAATCAGCTGGGGATCCTTACGGTACCGCATGAGCTGGCAGTTTATATTGGAATTCTATTATTTTCGAGAACAAGAGGGTGATGACGACAGGCCTGTAGTCAGACAGATCAGAGCGGTTTCCTTTCTTAGGGATCGGATGCATGAAAGCTGTCTTCTGTAAATACGTTACCTACGCCTAGGGAGTAAGAATACCTAAAAGGACACGTTGGAAGGATAGTAAATTAAATTTTAAAGTAAAATAAAGACAAATATGCATATGTAAAGTTGTTGAGTACATATTTTAAAATGCTCATATATAACTTCAAAGTAGTTATGAAAGTATGTAATATACATATACCATTAATTATTTTATTAACTTAATTTCAAAAGAGGTTGTGCTTATTTTTAATAATATTTGAAATCAACTATTTTAACAGAGTGGAAGGCGTGTCTCGAAGTCCCGTATTCTCACACGTATCGGCCAGCATGGCGGGTTTGACCACAATCCGCGCGAGTAAGGCTGAAGAGATGCTCCGCATACAGTTTGACGAAAAACAAGACGTGCACACGGCAGCATGGTATGGCACACCCTCGAGACTATTTCTATTTAATATCCACAACTACCATGCGCGAATAATAATAAGAGTATTGGGCATAGATTTTATCTAGGTATAAAATTTAGTGACAACTACCCTCTTTAAACGACAATTTTCATTTTAAGATTAAAATAAAAAAGTCATCATCATCATTACAGTCCATCACGAGTTCACTGCTGTAATATCAGTTCATATTTGGCTGAGTGCTATTTTATATGCGTTATTTCCACCAACACCATTGAAATTATAGTTGCAATACACAATAATTGATTTTACCACGTGTCCTGAATTGAATATAGAAATATAAGAAACATTGTGAGAAAATCTGTATTATGTCTAGGAAATAAATAAATTTTGAGGACAAGGCAAATCCGCTGTCGTATGCGTTCACCAGGATAACCAATGACAGGCTCCGTCAACATCTTGATTCGGATTAATATTTATCTTAGGAAATCATCCTTTGAATTTGAAACTCATGTCTACTAAAGTATTTCCGAGATCAAAATTGAGTTCCTTTACTGAATTCTCCGACACACATGTATAATGAAAAAAAACCTTTATTTCAGGTACTTGACACTAACAACAAACACCGCTTTCTCGATATGGTTAGGTCTTATATCGGCCGTCTATGTTATTGTTGTGGCCTATACGTTCCTTTTATTGGATGACGGTAAGATTTTATATATTATTAGACCCTTTATCAAAGAACATCATATACAATACGTTTATGATTTTATGAAACTGGTAACGGAACTTTGAATTGCTAATTATTATCTAGCAAAATAGAGCAGTGTACACACCTTTATCTTTCGGATAAATTACTGCTTTACGAGTATCTGCAATAGTATTTTTAATAGAATAAAACTATTTTTACGGATTTTATCGCGTTTAATTAATTTATTTTATATTCCCGACGTTTCGGTTGCTTTCCAGCAACCGAGGTCACGGGGTACTGAGGTGATTGACGTCCCGATGTCAGTGTTAAACCGAAGTACCTTCAGCTTTTTTAATTAATAATTTTGGTCCGATCTACGCAGAATGAACTAACTGTGTCTTGAAATCTTGCAGTGGTATGCTTGGGTTTAGTTTTAATTTTATGAATTACAGGATTCCAAGCAGGTGGTAGTACCCAGCCTCCCTCTCTATTGAAATTAGGATGTTTCTTAATTTCAATAGCCTCACGTATCATCCTTGGCAGGAATCGATGTTCTTTCGCGAGAATTTGTGGTTTATCAAATATAATGTAATGGCGGGGGCCGTCTAGGATATGATCACAAACTGCAGACTTCCCGGAACGTTGGTGCTTCACGTCAGCTATGTGTTCTTTTACGCGGGTTTTTATAGATCGTTTTGTTTGCCCTATATATGAGAAACCACACTCACAATCAAGCTTGTACACTCCTGATAAAATCCGTAAATATAGTTTTATTCAATGTGTAGTGTTCGCGTAAATATAAGAAATCATTAAGCATTTTTAATGTTATTCATCATATAATAATACAGATACCTACTGTGAAATCTTTTTGTTACATATCTTTATTGGCTATTGAAATAAACTAGCTAAACTTTTAATGCCCACATGGGCCTCTCTGAATTTGCCTTAATCGGCGGATTATCATTCGCAATACCAGAGATTTCACAACTTTAACGCTGCTGCTCGTTGACGTCCCGATATTTTATGTCTGGCGTAAACGAGTTGGTATACCGCCATCCAACGAATGCCCTTATTATGTCCAAAATTGCGATTTACCACCAATTGCTTTTACACGTGGTAGAGCCATGCTGCAGCTATATTAGTAGTACAGTTGTAGCACAAATGGGTCGCCTCGATCGGGGAAGGATCACGCTCTCACAGAATACCAGCGTAAAATAGCAGCTTGACACTGCTGTGTTTCGTGTGGTGAGTGTAGAGAACCGGATACACTTTTTACTAGAAAAGAGGCATTCCATATTTTAGTCCTCACGGGTGCCAACGCATCTGCATTTTGATTCGCAAACGAGGATAGATGTAGATGTCTACGGGCCACGACAAACATTTACCATCAGGTGGATTGTGTGTGTGTTTGTCACCCTATCCTATAAAAAAATGCTACCACCACTAGGTAGGATTGTAGTCACGCACTCGAGTACTTACCTTTTATAGTCCTATACTATAGCAATTGTAATCGCATTCTTCGGCGAAAAATCGATCTAGGTAGATTTAATTTGTGGAGGAATTCGTTTTTTTCGTTTTTTCACGCACAAGCTTCTTCTCAACAACGTAAGGTAAATGTTAACCAAGCCGGAGTGCGAGAGTTGGAATCGCGCAATGTAGTCATGTATTTCTTTTTATTCTTTAGTAGGTATCCTACCCCACGCAGTCTCACTGCTGGGCAAAAATAAATAAATTATAGATAAAAAATAAATATAAATAAAAAATGTTGTTTGGGAAGTTACAAACATTTTATGACACTAACTGTGAGATCAAAGTTTTAGTCGCAATAAAGTTTCAGAACAGTATTTTTTATTTTTACAGAAAGTCATTATTTTCATTCATTCATCATCATTCATTCATTCAGAGCGTCTGTTAGTGATTGTGTAATCGTTATACGATTCGATCGATTGGTGCGATATTGATACAATATAAGTTGTTTTGTAGGGATGATTGCTCATAGCTATGCTAGACTATAAATGGCGCTGTATTCAAGTTATTAATAATTACTCATATTCACAATTTACACGATAGGTAAATATAGCGCTATAGTCAGTATTAAGTAATTTTCTATTTACTTATACTTTTATACGGAGTGCGTTAGAAATTAGGAATCAAATTATTTAAATCGAATAAAAGGAATATTTCGCAGTAACGATTTTACGTTATAAATAATTAATTCTTAAGGTCACTGAAGATATTCGAGAGGGTTCCAAATTAACAGTTCTTATTTAATAGGTTTTTCTATCGATTTTAATACTGTCGACAACTCTATCTTGCTATCTCTTCAGCCCAGGATTGTTTCTCATAATATCTTCGAGGGCGCCAACAAGCCGTGCGTTCCGGCCATAATGTCTCCAATTGGAGTGATGTATTAACCGGTGTCCCTTAAGGCGGTATTCTCTCACCTCTTCTGTTTTCAATTTTTATCAATCTAGTCACATTAAACCTCAAGTGCTCTTATCATCTGTATGCCTATGATCAATAACTATTTTCACAAGCGGAACCATCCGATATTAATAATTCAATAGCGTTACTAAACGAAGATTTACATTATATCTTTGAATAGTCCAGTGTATTTGGAATTAACTTGAATCCTTCTAAAAGTCAAGCGATCATTTTAGGTAGTTCTAGATACTTATCCAAATTAGATATCTCCACTTTGCCGTTTATTTCGTACAACAACAATGCTATCCCATACTCCCCACATGTTAAGAATCTCGGTCTGTTCGTTGATAGCTGTCTTTCGTGGAACAAGCAGATCCAGGAGGTAAGCCGCAAAGTTACTGCAACATTGCGATCTCTTTATCGCCTGAAAAATTTTCTTCCTGCCGCTACAAAAGTTTTGCTAGTCCAATCTCTTATTCTGCCGATAATAGACTATTTAGATGTGTGTTTCACAGACTTATCTCACCATCATCTTAACACATTGTGCATGGGAAAATTCAGAGGATGCTTTGGGTATATTTTGTGACCTTTCCAAGGCCTTCGACTGTGTTCACCATGAGACATTAATCAGGAAGCTACAGTACTATGGTGTCAAGAACACAGCGCTTAAACTTATTATTTCATATTTAAGTAATAGAAAACAGAAGGTTATTATCAATGGTAAAAGTTCTTCCGGGTCACCTGTACTAAAGGGTATTCCTCAGGGCTCGATTCTCGGCCCATTCCTGTTTCTGGTGTATATTAATGACTTACCTCACCTTGTAGGGGATAGTCATGATATAGTATTATTTGCTGATAATACTTCCTTGATTTTTAAACTTAAACGTCAATCATTTAAATGTGACGAAGTGAATAATGCTATATCAAAATTAGTGAATTGGTTTAACGTTAATAATCTGCATTTGAACGGAAATAAAACTAATTGTGTTAAATTTACAACAGCGAATATTAAAAATCTGAATACCAATGTGTTTTTAAATGGGGAGGAATTGAGCCCTGTTGTATCCACTGTTTTTCTTGGCATTACTCTTGGCGCAAAGCTCCAGTGGGGCCCCCATATATCCAAATTAGCAATCAGACTAAGTTCTGCAGCCTATGCTGTAAAAAAGATTAGAGGTCTCACTAGTGTCGAGACAGCTAGATTAGTTTATTTCAGTTATTTCCATAGCATAATGTCTTATGGGATTTTGCTATGGGGAAATGCGGCCGATTCAGAAACTATTTTTGTTTTACAGAAGAGGGCCATTAGAGCTATTCACAACCTAAAACCGAGAGAGTCTCTTAGAGATAAATTTAAAGAAATAATTATATTAACTTTGGCCTCTCAGTATATTTACGAAAATTTAATGTATGTTCACAAAAACAAAGATAGTTTTAGTAAAAAAAGTGATATACATTCTGTAAACACTAGGAACAAACACAAGCTAGTGATGCCAGTTTCTCGACTCCACAGAGTCAGTAATTCATTCTTGGGGCAATGTATACGCTATTACAACAAGGTCCCGGAAAGTGTACAGGTTCTCTCTATTACCAAATTTAAATGTTTTATTAAGCTGAAACTGTATAAAAAGGGTTATTATAGTATAAATGAATACATGGTTGATAATAACCCCTGGGAATGAGGTGGTCACTTCCAAGCAGTTTCTAAAATAAATTTTTTAAAAAGTTCGTAATCATTTATATTGTAAAATTTATTTTTTTTTAAAAAGTCCCGCTGGGTTTCTTGCTGGTTCTTCCCAGGACAGAGGTTTTTTTTTCGAAAAAAGTAAAAAATGACTTTCAATAAGAATTACACATGTAATGTATATTGAATAAAAAATATTCTATTCTATTCTATTCTATCAACACAATAAGATCTACGTCAATATTGAAAAATGTCAGAAAATCCCAATTGTCTTTCCTTATAACTTTAATAATTAAATATTAAAACGGGTCAATATTGTACGAGATCTTGGCGTCTGTTTCGACTCCAAGATGCTCCTTAATGTGCATTATGATAGTATAGCAGATATAGCTTACCGTATGTTTATTTTTTTAATTTTTTTTTATTTTATTCAGGATAACAACAGCTTATTAATACTTAAACATTTTACTTAAATTATTAAACACGAAAAAGCCAATAATAGTTATCCACAAAGTACATAACCAAACATAACACTGCAAATCTACAAAACAAATTCGGTAAGCACTAATTCTAAGCATTAACAAATTAATTGAAATATTAATATTACTTTCATGATGTACATACATATACTCATACACATATATACACGTACAAAAGACGTACATAATTAAACTTACAAACACACATATGAATATATATATATATATACATACATTTACATACACATATACATACGTACATATACATACACATATACATACATACATATACATACACATACACATACACACATACATACACATATACATACATATATACATACACATACAACATACATGTATACAATCATTTTAATGATAAAAGAATAACAGTATTAAACGAGGGAACAAATAATAATTTAGGTACT